GATACTGCCTCGGAAACCCAAGGAGGGGTCGCTATGAGTCGGCCAACTCGACAGCAAATAACAACAACAGCAATAACATATATATATATTTTATATATAAAATATATATTATATATATATATAATATATATATTTAGAAGATAAAGTTAGGCTAAATTGGAGTCAATTATAAGTAGTGTTGATAATGAAACTAATTTAGTGGTATCTTACCTTTTTCATACTTTCTATCCATTACCATTGAGGAGCTCTTGTGGCATAGTAATTAAAGCATTCATTTGCTACAAGGTTGGCAGTTCAAACCCACCAGCCATGCTCCTCAGGAAAAAGATGAAGCAGTTTGCTTCCATAAAGATTTATAACCTTGAAAACCCTATGAGAGAGTTCTTCTCTGTCCTAAAGGGTAAGTTGGAATCAACTCGATGGCAGTGGATTTCAGTCTTTTGAATTATCCATGAATGAACCAGAGGATGAAACATTTGGATTAATGAATTATCAGGTATAGAATATTTATAAGACAAACCAGGATTAAAAACGTTATTTAAACTTTATTTTGTAGTTTCCCATCTGCCTGTCAGCACAAAAGCTCCGTTAAAGTACTATTGGGTATCTAGAAGTGGATTTTCTTATGATTGACTCCTGCCTTTTAGGTGCTTTTTTGGTATGGTCTCCCTTTGGTCCTTTATATCTTATATAGAGAAATAAATGATACCTTATCTAGAAGTAAGAATCACTGGTTTAGGGTTGGAATGTCTGTTAAAACAATAATCACATTCCTGGACTGCTTTTATACAAGTCATTTTTCCTTTGCTCTTTATAAATGAGCATATTTGGTTATCTCAAGTCACTTTTGTGTCAATGTAGATTATCCTTATAGCAGAGTTACAATTTTAAGTTATTTTTTTAAAATAAATTCACAGCATGATTCAAGAATCTCATGAAATACTGTATTAAGGCTTTTGGTGTCTCTACTGATTTTCATTTTCACTGGCTTTTAGAAGCTTTCTTTTATACACACACACACATATATAAATGTTTTGTTTGTTGTTATGTGCCATAGAGTCAGACCTGACTCACAGCAACCCCTCCTTGGGTTTCCAAGACAGTATCACTAAAGAAGCAGATTGCCCAACCTTCCTTCCAAGGAGTGGCTATTGGGTTTGATCGCCAGCCTTCTGGTTAGCACTCAACTGCCTTAGGCACTATGCTGCCAGAGATATGTGTGTGTGTGTGTGTGTGTGTGTGTATGTATGTACATATATACATACACATAGCATTCCGTATATATATACATGGAATAAAGCTCTTATAAATTTATCCTTAACTGTTAATCTCAACTTAACTTCATTTTGTATACTACCATGACATTGAATTTCATGGAAATGGCTTGAAATTAACTTTTCCATGTGCTTGTTGTATACAAATGCTACTGATAAGCTTAATCACAGTTATCTTTACTTTCTGTTGGTCAAATTGACAGAATTTTGATAGTTACATTTAATAAAACTTTTAGCTTTAGTTCTCGTGATGTCTTACAGGACTTGGATAGTTTATTACATTGGCTTAGATTTCTTTGAAGACTTAGCCTCTTGGATTTCAAAATTTCTCAAGTCTACAAGCCAGCTTATATGTAAGAAAATAGGTTTTATTTGGCATATTATATACCAGGAACTTTATACAGGAATACTCATTTATGAAAATATGACCTGAAGAAGATAACTATCAACAGTTAATCAACAGTTTTTTATGATTACACATCATTGCCATGGTTCTCTAAGTGCGCATACTTTGTTCTTTATTGTAGACTGGACTACCAGAGTGAAGCAGATTGCTAAATTGTGGAGAAAAGCAAGCTCACAGGAAAGAGCACCATATGTGGTATTTTAAAACTCCTGTGTATTTATGTCTGTAAACACAATATCTGAACCTTATGTTTATTGTCTTAGGCTAATAAAAAGACTTTCTGAAGCAGAAAATATATGTTAATATTTGCACAACTAAGAAACACTTTGCTTTTATAGTGATTTTCTAAGTCATTATGTCTTAATATAGAGCATGATATTTTTTAAGCTTAGTTAACAGAAAGAAGATATTAGGGATTAAAATTAGCTGTTAGGTGCATGTTTAATTAACACCACTTCAAAATTGTTTCATCTTTTCAAAAGAATACTAAACTTGGAGCCTGAATTAGAGTGCCTCAGTTTCTTTTGTAATAAGTTCTTTTCTTAGTAGATTCAATACGGAATCCTTGTGTATCAAGAAAGAACATACCTAAATACATTGAAGGAGTTATTGAAAAATGCTCTTTGCTAAGAATATTAGGGAATTTTATAAGATTCACAATTCAGATGGTGAATTCTCTTCTCCCAGAGAGTCAAATTAAGATTTTTAATTGTAGTCAAATCCTTGCTTTCATTTTAAAGCACCTTAAATTTTCATTACTGTTTCAAGAAATATATTTGTAATTATTTTCCAACTTGATTTCCAGTACATATATCTTCAGTGATGAAGATTGCTAGGATATAGGATAATTTTTTTTTGAGACATTGACCTTCTTTGTTTTCTTCTATTTTTAATGTTTCTGAAGAATTTCATTTAGTGTTAAGTTTTACAATTCCAGATTTTAAGTTTGGAGGATGTATTTCATATTTTCCTTTTCTCTCAATTGAGGAAGATACTAATTCTTCCATTTTATAGTGTCTACTCAGAAAATTAAGATAAAAAATAATAGGTTGTATCTGAGATCTCTCAGTCTGTTTCAGATACATAGATGGAAATGTGTCCTCTACTGATAGGTAACATGCTCTGTAAAAAAGATTGGTTAGTGTCTAGATACTTTTGATAGAAAAAGCTGTAAGCTCTAAGGATAATTTCTCAACTATTTAACCCAACTTATCCTTGCTTTGTGGTAAAGTTTACTCTAAGTTTTATTTTTTTTCTTAAAACATATTATTGCATCCTGGAGGATAATTTCTTTTTTCTTTTTTCTCAAAGCAAAAAGCTAGAGATAACAGAGCTGCTTTACGTATTAATAAAGTACAGATGTCAAATGATTCCATGAAAAGGCAACAACAACAAGATAGCATTGATCCCAGCTCTCGTATTGATTCAGATCTTTTTAAAGATCCTTTAAAGCAAAGAGAGTCGGAACATGAACAGGAATGGAAATTTAGACAGGTATGAGGTTTTTTGCATAAGTTTCTTTTTTGGGGGCAGGGATTGAAAGTTTACAGCGCAAATTCACTTCCCATATGATAGTTCATACACCTTTTGTTCATGACACTGGTTGCAATCTGCATAATATAACAAACAGCCCTCTTCCCACTTCCTTCCTCTGCTTACCCTTTTCCTGTGTCCTTCTTTCCAATGGATTGCTGCCCTGTGAGCTATCTCCCTATGCAAATACTCCCTTCTGGTCTCCATGGTTGGTTGATCTAAGAAGTGTACCTACCTGGTATAAATTTTCACTTTGTATGCCTATCTATTGTTTGACTGGAAGCCACAGGAGTAAGTTCAATTCCAGGCCCAAAGAATCACTAGAGGCCATAGTCTCAGGGATTTCACCAGTCTCTATCAGACTAGTAAGCCTCGTCTTTTATATATATATATATATATTTTTTTTTAATGCATTTTATTGAAATATAATTTATGTACAGTGAAATACACAAAACTAAAGTGACATGGGTCAATGCATTTGTTTTTTCCCAGTGTTCCTTCCCCTCCTCTCCCACTCCTGGCAACCAACAGAAAGTTTCCCTCCATATATAAACCTTTCCTTGACCCTCTGCAACAACAAACTAATACTATATTTGCCCTTCTGTGATTGACTTATTTAACTCAGCATAATATCCTCCAAGTTCATTCATAGTATGTGGTGTTTTGCAGACTCTACATTATTCTTTAGTGCTACATAGCATTCCATTATGTGTATGTACCATATAGTTTAGTCATCCACTCTTCTGCTTAGAGAATATGTAATTATTGGCAAATATGAATTTTTTGCTGTCATTTTTGTTATGTGCTTTTTCATGGTATCGATTTCTTTGTTCCATATAATTTTCTATGCTGAACTCATTTTGTTCATGAATCATGTTATCACTTCCTTCGTTGCTATTGTTTTAGTATTTGCTGAATATTTATACTGGTCCTCTTTTTTGATGTGAAGGTTTATCATTTTTCTTGGAGGTTACCCTGTGATTTATAGTTCTCTTCCCAAATTTAGAACAGTCCATTCTATCTTGTAGTTGTCTTGACTTCCCTACCATCTAGAAGTTCTATAATGACACAGGTTTTTTTCCCTCTTTTTGGTTTGTAGTTGTCCTCATTTGTTGGTTGGTGTCTCTGGTTCCATTTACAATCTTGTAGGCTTATTTACTTTGGATCCTTCCATAGCTGGGTTGATTTCTGGGTTATCATCATGTGAGTTAATGGTCAGTTGTTGTTGGCTGCTGTTGTTTCTCTGACCAAAGGGCTCCCTTTAACATCTCTTGTAAGGTTGGTCTCGTTTTAACAAATTCCCTTAATTTCTGCTTATCTGGAAATGTCCTAATTTCACCAACATATTTGAGGGACAGTTTTGCTGGGTACATAATTCTTGATTGGAAATTTTTCTCTTTCAGTGTTTTATGTATACTATCCCCTTGTCTTCTCACCTGCATGGTTTCTGTCGAGAAATCTGAGCTTAGTCTTACTGGTTGCCCCTTGTAGGTAACTTTTTGTTTTTCCCGTGCTGCTCTCATGATTCTTTCTTTGTCTTTGGTTTTGGTGAGTTTGATGATGATGCGTCTTGGTGATTATCTTTTGGGGTCTATTACTGTTTGAGGTTCGTTGGACTTCCTGAATGGATATATTCTCATCTTTCATCATGTCAGGGAAGTTCTCTTCCAACAAATCTTGGGCAATTTTCTGTGTGGTTTTATTTTTCTCTTACTGCTCTCTGGAATTCCTATTTCATGTAGGTTATTCCTTTTGATGGTATCCCGCATGAACCTTAGGCTTTCTTCATTTTGTTTTGATCTTTTTACTGATTTATCCCTTTCCAAAAAAGTGTTCAAGTATTTATCTTCAATCTCCCTAATTCTGTCTTCCATTGATTCAATTCTGCTCCTTTGCCCATTCAATGTCTTATCTATTCCTGAAAATTTAGTATTAATCTTCTGGATTTCTGTGTGTAGATTTTGTATCATTTCTAATTTTTTTTTATTTATTTTGTCATTCTGTTCTTGTATTGTCTTTCAAAATTGTTCTAGGGTTTTCTCTTTGTTTTCCTTGATCTGTCTCTCAATTTGTTGAAGATACCTAAATATAATTCTTTTGAATTCCTTATTGGGGAGTTCTAATGCCACATCTTCCTCAGGGATGTGTTTTGGATCTGTATCCTGGTCCCTTGTTTCTCATGCTTTATCTTGCTTCTTTATGTGGACTATGATACTCTGTTGTCTCTGAGGCATTGTGACTTTTTTGTGTTTATATTCAATTGGTGATTGTATGTTGGAGTGACTTGCCCACGATTTTCATTTTCTTTTTTTATATGTTATCTATACAAGCAGGGTACTGTGCTCCTCTATTTGCTAGTTGACAGCACTTATACACTCACCACGTGTCTCCTTTCCTGTTGTCAGCCTTTCATATGTCCCTGCTGACCTTGGCAAACAGTGTCTATTCTTAGGTCCCTGGAATCTGAATGAGAATGCTATCACTTTAAAATCCAAAATGGTTGCCACTTATAGAGATTCAAAATGGCTGCACCTTCGGTCACTTTAAATCTCCAAAATGTCTGCCACTTATAAACATTCAAAATGCCTGTGCCCTCGGTCACTTTCAGTATTCAAATTGGCCTCTGCTTGTAAGCATTCAAAATATCTATGCCTTCGGTCACTTTAAATATCCAAAATGGCTACTGTGTGTAAACAATCCAAATGGCTGTGCCCTCCAGACAGATCGTCTCCCTCCTTGCTGTTTCCCTTCCTAGTCATAGGCCACCAGTGCAGTCGTCTCTGCAGCCCTTGGTGACCAGGGTTGATCTTTAGGTCAGTTCTCAGGTCCCAACACCACTTGGAAATATTCAGGCTGTTGGTCCCATCAGAGTAGCTGACAGTCCGCAGCTCTGACTGTTTCTGTACTCACTGTTTTCATTCAGGTTTTTCCACTAGTTGGTGCCTAATCCACTTGTGCATAGTTCCTTTCAGAGTTCAGGGCCCCAGGATTAGCTTCTATATCTTTGTCAATTGGTTTTTCTTTTCTTTGTTGAAGAGGGTCTATGTCACTTGTCTGCCTATCCCTCCATCTTAGCAAAAGTCCCCAAGCCTGGTCTTTTTATAATTTTGAGTTATGTTCTACATTTTTCTCCTACTTTATCCAGGATTTCATATATTGATCCCTTTCCAAGTGGTTGACAGTGTTAGCCAGACATCTACTTCTGGTCTCAGGGTTATGTAGGCTGAGGTTCACATGGTCCACTTGTCCCTTGGACTAATTACTTCCATGTGTCTTTAGTTTTTTCATTCTTTGTTCCAGACACAGAGAGACCAGTAGTTGCATCTTCAGTGGCTGCTTGCAAGCTTTTAAGACCCAGTCACTACTCACCAAAATTGGATAGAGAACAATGTTTTTTTATAGTATGTTGTGCCAATTGAGTTTGATGTCCCCCATAACCATGGTCCTGTGCCCATGGACCCAGTGACTCACTACATTAAGGAGTTTGGCTGTGGCTAAGAAGTAGTCTTTACTTTGCTCTATTACCTCTATTATGTGTACAGATATTCTTATAGCGCATACAAATACATATGTAGAAATACCATCTCCAAACTTATATATATGTATGTATGTGTGTATATGTATATATATGTACACACACACACACATATATGTATGTATGTATTTATAAAACCAAATTCATGGCCATCAAGTCAATTCCAACTCAAGGTGATCCCCATTAGGTTTCTAAGGCTTTAAATCTTTAGTAGATTGCCCATATTCCTACCATAGAGCAGCTGGTGGGTTTGAACTGCTGTCCTTCTGGTTAGCAACCAAATGGCTTATCCACTTTGCCACCAGAGCTCCTAAACTTATATACAGTCATGGGTATATTCCCTTTTGCCTAGACATACCTGATCATTTAACCTTTCTGTGTATGTATCCTGATACAAAGATTTATCACTTAATTGTGCTTGTGAGGAACCTGTACGCAGGCCAAGAGGCTGTCAGGTGAACAGAACAAGGGGATATTGCATGATTTACAATCAGGAAGGGTGTGTTTCAGGGTTGTATTCTCTCACCATACTTATTCAATCTGTATACTGAGTAAATAATCCAAGAAGCTGGACTATATGGAGAACGCAGCATCAGGATTAGGGGAAGACTTATTAAAAACCTGTGATATGCAGATGACAACCTTGCTTGCTGAAGAAAACGATTACTTGAAACACTTGCTGATGAAGATCAAAGACTACAGTCTTCAGTATGGATTATACATCAACATAAAGAAAACAAAAATTCTCAGAACTGGACTGATAAGCAACACCACAATAAATGGGGAAAGACTGAAGTTGTCAGGGATTTCATTTTACTTGGATCCACAGTCAACACCCATGGAAGCAGCAGTCAAGAAATCAGACGTTGTATTACACTGGGTAAATAAGCTCCAAAGGACCTCTTAATACTGTAAAGTATTAAGAAGCAAAGATGTTACTTTGTAGACTGAGGTGCACCTAACCCAAGCCATAGTATTTTCAGTTGCCTCATATGCATGTGAAAGCTGCACAGTGAATAAGGAAGATCGAATAAGTGTTGATGCCTTTGAATTGTGTTCGTGAAGAATATTGAAAATACCATGGACTGCCAAAAGAACCAAGAAATCTATCCTGGAAGAAGTGCAACTAGAATGCTCCTTGGAAGCAAGAATGGCCAGAGTTCATCTTACCTACTTTGGTTGTGTTGTCAGAAGGAACCACACCCTGGAGAAGGATATCACATTGGGTAAAATAGAGGGTCAGCAGAAAAGGGGAAGACCCTCAACAAGATCACTTGACACAGTGACTGCAGTTATGGAATCAAGTATAGCAAGGATTTTGAGGATAGCGTAGAACTGAACAGTGTTTGTTTTGTTTTACATAGTGTCACTATGTATGAGTCAGAGTCAACTTTGTGACATCTTATAACAAGAACAGTAACCTATGTATCCACCTATAGGTTACTGTTTGTTATTACTGATAATACAGTGTTGTGTGTGTAAAAATGTTTGTCTTTGTTGTCTCTACCTCTTGTGTACTTCTTTGTGTCTTCCTTTTCCTTAGTGTTAGTTTGTTGGTCATTCACTTTAAGTATATTGATTCTCCCTTCACCCAAATCAGTACGTTTCTCTTACCTATCTAGCAAGTTTTCCCTCCCCTTCCAAAAAGTTGTTTTGTTAAATTGCATTTTTGCTTTTGGGGGAGAGAGCTAGTATGTCATTATTAAAGAATATAATCATTAGTAGAGAAAGGAAATTTGAGTAAAAATAGACTTGTTGCCTTTCTCAGTATAATATTTTAAGTTGATTCAGGAAGTTTATTGAAATATTATGAACAGTATAATGGCCTAGGCATAATGTTGCATACTATGATGAGTAATAGTCTCTCCTCTTTGGGAATATATAATCTAATAAAATAACAATCTGGTAGCAGCTGATATCAAACTAATTCTTTTTCTGGTGCTAATTTTCTTTTTTTCAGGTTGATTTTTTTTCTTCCTTAACTATATGACTTCTTTTTCTTTACTATTTCGACAGCAAATGCGTCAGAAAAGTAAGCAGCAAGCTAAAATTGAAGCCACACAGAAACTTGAACAAGTGAAGAACGAACAGCAACAACAGCAACAGCAGCAGCAATTTGGTTCTCAGCATATTCTGACACAATCTGGTTCAGATACACCAAGCAGTGGGATCCAGAGTCCCTTGACTCCTCAGCCTGGCAATGGAAGTATGTCTCCTGCACAGTCTTTCCATAAAGACCTGTTTACAAAACAACTTTCGAGTACCTCTACTTCTTCAACTTCAGATGATGTCTTTGTAAAGCCACAAGCTCCACCACCTCCTCCAACCCCATCCCGGATTCCCACTCAGGATACTCTTTCTCAGTCTCAAGCTTCTCAGTCACCGTCCCCACAGATGTTTTCACCTGTATCTTCTAACTCCCAACCACCATCGCCAGTGGATCCTTATGCTAAAATGATTGGTACTCCTAGACCACCTCCAGTAGGCCATAGTTTTCCCAGAAGAAATTCTGTTCCACCAGTGGAAAACTCTGGACCATTATCATCAGTATCTAGGCCCATTCAAATAAATGAAACAACAGCAAATAGGCCATCGCCAGTCAGAGATTTGTGTTCTTCCTCCACGACAAATAGTGACCCCTATGCAAAGCCTCCAGATACACCTAGACCTATGGTGACAGATCAGTTTCCCAAATCTTTGAACCTACCCAGATCTCCTGTAGTTTCAGAACAAACTGCAAAAGGTTCTGTAACATCTGGAACCAGTGATTCCTTTACTAAACCATCTCCTAGGGCAGATGTGTTTCAGAGACAGCGGATCTCTGACCCATATGCACAACCTTTGTTGACACCTGCACCTCTTGAAAGTAGTCCTGGACCCTTTAAGACTCCAATACAGCCCCCTTTATCCTCCCAGGATCCTTATGGATCAGTGTCACAGGCACCAAGGCGAATGTCTGTTGACCCTTACGAACGACCTGCTTTGACACCAAGACCTGTAGATAGTTTTTCCCATAGTCAGACCAGTGATCCATATAGCCAGCCTCCCCTCACTCCACATCCAACAATGAGTGAATCTTTTGCCCCTCCTTCAAGACCTTTTTCCCAGACTGTCACCATATCAAGGCCAATATCTCAGGACCCATATTCTCAGCCCCCAGGAACTCCACGACCTGTTGTTGATTCTTATTCCCAACCTTCAGGAACAGCACGATCCAATCCAGACCCTTATTCTCAACCTCCTGGAACTCCCCGGCCCACTACCATTGATCCATATAGTCAGCAGCCACCAACCCCAAGGCCATCTACACAAACAGACTTGTTCATTACATCTACAAATACTCAGAGGCATTCTGATCCATATGTTCATCCTCCAGGAACACCAAGACCTGGAGTTTCTGCTCCTTACTCTCAGCCACCAAGGCCAAGGATTTCAGAGGGTTTTACTAGGCCCTCAATGACAAGACCAGTCCTCTTGCCAAATCAGGATCTTTTCCTGCAGGCAGCACAAAATAGAGGACCAGCTCTGTCTGGCTCTTTGGTAAGGCCACCTGATACGTGTTCCCAAACACCCAGGCCACCTGGACCTAGTTCTTCGGACACATTTAACCGTGTTTCCCCATCTGCTGCCCATGATCCCTATGATCAGTCTCCAGTGACTCCAAGATCTCAGTCAGACTCTTTTGGAACAAGTCAAGTTACTCATGATGTCACTGATCATCCAAGGACTACTGCAGAGGGAAACTTTAGTGCATCTTCAAACTCTCCACTGAATTCCCAAAGTCAACCATTTTCCAGTGTCTCCCAAATTCCTGGACCTGTTCCGACTTCAGGAGTAACTGATACACAGAATACCATCAATATGACTCAAGCAGATTCAGAGAAATTGAGACAGGTAAACATAGTATATGTTCTCAGATGCTTTAAATGTATTATTCAGAAAAAGCTACTGATTCCATCAAAATGTATAATTTCTACAGAAATGTTAAAGTTTCTTTTGAGTCTGTAGAATTCATCATACTGCAAAGAAGAAAACAAATTGTTATAAATTGGCACAAGTTGAATTGGATTTATTCTATTTAAATCAAATTAGATTTGATCAAATTAGACTGAAATTACAATCTCAGTAAATCCATAAGGAAATTCTTAAATTGAAAGGTTTAAGTTTTTTTTTCTAGCAAGGAAAAGGACCCCCACTGTCAATTTATATTAGATATTCTTTCAAATAATTACATGTAACTAGTGTTTATCAAGCTTTGAAACAGATATTTTTAATAATTATGTAATGAAAGCATGGTTGTTGTTGGGTGCTGTCAAGACAATTCCACCTCATAGCAATCCCATGTGACAAAGTAGAACTGCCTCATAGGGTTTTCTTGGCTATAATTTATGGAAGCAAATTGCCAGGCCTTTCTCCCATGCAGTGGTTGGGTGAGTTCATACCACCAGCCTTTAGCTTAACAATTGTGCCACCACTAGGATTCACAAAGTCATTAACCTTAAAAAAAAAAAAAAAAAAAAATTATTATTATCAGAAACTCAGTTATTTCTTTTCCCCCCTTACCATTCAGCGGCAAAAGTTACGTGAGATCATTCTCCAGCAGCAACAGCAGAAGAAGATTGCTGGTCGTCAGGAGAAGGGGTCACAGGATTCACCAGTAGTGCCTCATCCAGGGCCCCTTCAGCACTGGCAACCAGAGAATATCAACCAGACTTTTACGAGACCTCCACCTCCCTATCCTGGGAACATAAGATCTCCTATTGTCCCTCCTCTAGGGCCTAGATATACTATTTTCCCAAAAGATCAACGTGGGCCCTATCCTCCTGATGTTGCTGGTATGGGAATGCGACCTCATGGATTTAGGTAATGCTTTTAATTTCCAGCCTTATTAGAACACAGATAAATAAAATTACTTTTTAATTGAATTTAAGAAGTTTTAATTAAAACAATTTAGACTTTTTCTACCTCTCTATAATTTTTGAGATAAAAATCAACTTTATTTTCCCCTGATGAGAGATCGTAGTGTTTTTTTTCTCTAAAGACATAAAGTATTTCCTTCATTATTAACTATATAAAATACTATATATTAACTATATAGAAATAGTGTTAACTATATTAACATTAAATTTGAAACCGTAATAATATAGTTTGTAATATCAGTCAAATCACATCATCTAAAATGTACCTAACATATACACTTAAAGCCAGCTATGATAGGGCAGCAATAGTGATAATTGTCCTCTGTCCTAATAGTAATGTTATAAATTTCCAATCTTTTAATTTTACAGTGTAAATATTTGTAGAAAATTTCAAATTTAAAGATGTTTTACCTTAGGAACTTTCCATAATGAGATAGGGTTATAAAATTATTGGTTGTAAATCATGATCATATTTCCTTTTTTATAGTGCCTAGTAGAAAGCTTAAAGCCTAACTTAAGCCTAACTCTAAGCAGATGGGTCTTCAAAATAGATGTTTTTTAGTCTTATACCTACCGCCATGTTCTACTCTCATTCTTCTTTTCCTTTTTCTTCCTCCTTTTTTTATGCCTTTTGCTGTGTTTTGAATTTTTTTGTAAGTTGCATTCAATCCTTTCTAGAATGAGATACAATATAAATAATAAAAACAGTCCTATAATTTATTCATTTACTAAATCTTTTAAAATGATGCCTGCTCATTCCTTTCAAGCCAGTAGGTTTAGTCAGTCTATTCACTGCATGTATGCTTTTGTCTTCTCACGTATTCTGAGGCCAATCAGTCTCTTAGTGTAATTTGGTAGACCTCCTACCTTGATGGAAACATCCCCCCAAATCAGCTTTCTTTATGAAGCCTCCCTAAACATAGAAAAAAGAAATGAACTCTTGATCACAAACATCAGTAGCGTTGTGCTTATTTCTGAACAGTGTATTCCATCTGCTTAATGATTGTTCATTTCTCTTGCTTATGTTATCTTTTAGATGTAAGCTTTTAAAGCTCAGATAAGGTGTATGTTATAGGATACTTAGAAAAAATGTACTTGTGTGTGGGTACTTTCTAATGATGATACTTTGTTTTTGCCTAGTCATTCTATTTGACAATAGTAATTTCGTGCCTAAGTTTAATCTAAAGTTTCCTTTCCTTTATTCAACCAAAGTCTAAATTCATATAATACTTTAAATTAAAATAAACTATTTGAATTTATTTTTTAGATTTGGATTTTCAGGAGGTAGTCATGGTACCCTGTCAAGTCAGGAGCGCTTCCTTGTGCCTCCTCAACAAATACAAGGATCTGGAGTTCCTCCACAACTCAGAAGATCAATATCTGTAGATATACCTAGGCCTTTAAATAATTCACAAATGAATAATCCAGTTGGACTTAGTCAGCATTTTCCACCACAGAGTCTGCCAGTTCAACAGCATAACATATTGGGCCAAGCATTTATTGAATTGAGGCATAGGACCCCTGATGGAAGGCCACGGCTGCCCTTTGGTGCTTCTGCTGGCAGTGTTATAGAGGCACCATCTCATCCAAGACACGGAAGCTTCATTCCCCGGCCAGACTTCCCGGGCCCTAGACACACAGATCCTGTAAGACGACCTCCCCAAGGTCTACCTAATCAGCTGCCTTCGCATCCAAATTTGGAGCAAGTGCCAGCATCACAGCAAGAGCAAAATCATCCTACACATTCATCTTCTGTGGTCATGAGGTCTCTGAGTCATTCCTTAAGTGGTAAATTCTCAGAGTCGTCTTTGTCAGCATCTACACCAGCAGAAACACCAGCTGATAATTTACAGATAACCAACCAGTCTTCTGATGGTCTTGAAGAAAAACTTGATTCTATTGACCCATCTGTAAAAGAACTAGATGTCAAAGACCTTGAGGGGGTTGAAGTCAAAGACTTAGATGATGAGGATCTTGAAAATCTAAATCTGGATACAGAAGATGGCAAGGGAGATGAATTGGATACTTTAGGTAATTTGGAAACTAATGACCCCAACCTGGATGACCTCTTGAGATCAGGAGAATTTGATCTAATTGCGTATACAGATCCAGAACTTGATTTGGGAGATAAGAAAAGCATGTTTAATGAAGAACTCGACCTTAATGTTCCAATCGATGATAATCAGTGTATGTCTATTGAACCAAAAAAAAAGGAGCATGAAGACAAAACTTTAGTTCTTTCTGATAAACATTCTCCACAGAAAAAATCCCCTGTTACCAGTGAGATAAAAACAGAAGTACTGTCTCCAAATTCTAAAGAGGAAACAAAACATGAAATTGAGAAAAGTGAAGGTAAAACTACTGTTGATATTCCCTGCTCACCAGCTTCTAATAACACAGACCTTAACAATGGAGAAAAGGATTCTTTAAAGCCTTGTAATCCAGAGCTACCTGAGAAAAGAACTAATCAGGAAATTGCTAACACCAACACAAGTGCTCAAGGACCCACTCAGCTGCCTGCTGAAGATGTAATAAACTCTTGTGGCATAACTGGATCAACTCCCGTTCTCTCAAGTTTACTTGCTAATGAAAAGTCAGATAATTCAGACATTAGGCCATTGGGATCTCCACCAACAACTTTGCCAGCCTCACCATCCAGTCATGTGTCAAGTTTGCCTTCTACTTTAATGACACCACCTGGCCATGTTTTGGATAATACCATGAATTCTAATGTGGCAGTAGTCTCCAGGGTAAACCATACTTTTTCTCAGGGTGTGCAGGTAAATCCAGGATTTGTTCAGAGTCAGTCAACAAGTCACAGTTTCGGGACAGGAAAACCGACAAATCAAATTGTACCTCTCACAAATCAGTCTGGTACCACTGGCATGTCTGGACCTCAGCAGCTAATGATTCCTCAAACATTAGCCCAGCAAAATAGAGAGAGGCCCCTCCTTCTAGAGGAACAGCCTCTACTTCTACAGGATCTTTTGGATCAAGAGAGGCAAGAACAGCAGCAGCAAAGAAAGATGCAAGCCATGATACGTCAGCGGTCAGAACCATTCTTCCCTAATATTGGTAGGACTTTACTTGACTCTCAATAGCAATCAATAGGGCATTAGATTGGCCTTTAGTTTGCTTATAAGATTACATTGTTAAAATTATATTTGGAATAGTGTGCTAATGACATTAATATTCCTGTTCCTCCTCTAGCTTTAAAATGGAGGTGATTAATAATTTTAGATTCCTCTCAGATAAAACAAATGATTCAAAATTCTGAATTGCAGACATTATTCAATTCCATTTGCAATGGTATTGTTTCTATTAATAGTATTATAAATAATAACATTGACATTCTATTCTATATATATATTACCAGTTTTATCAAATTGGTCCATTTCTTTTTCATTTATGCAAAAAAGGTTTTTTCTCAATAGTCTCTCCTTATTAGGAGACTATAACATCAAGAAATTGAGAAATCTTTCTTTTTTAAGAGTCATAACTAATATAGTGGAATTCCCTAGTACTGGAAATAACTACAAATTATCAGTCATGATGCTACATTACTGAAAATGTAGTTCCAATTAACATTATAGAAATTTGGATGAAAGGGAATTGTTTTATTTAGTGCCATATCTTCCTTAAATTTGAAAGACTTCCTGTTTTAATTTTTGCAGGGGAAAGGTATTAAAGTAACTTCATTTATTAATTACTGAGATGAGATTAAATTCAAGATAAAGTTTTTACCATCTTATAACTCCTTAGTTATTATAGGTTAGCAGTCAAATGCATTATCCACTACACCACTAGAGCTCCTTATAGAAACCTATATGATTATTAAGTAATAAGGAATAAGTATAAATTACATAATGTTTGTGATTTTTCACTATCTCTTAGAATGCCTTGAACCAAGTACTATGAAATAAATAACTTTAAAATATATTTCTTCTTTAGATTTTGATGCAATTACAGATCCTATAATGAAAGCCAAAATGGTGGCCCTTAAAGGCATAAATAAAGTTATGGCACAAAACAATATGGGCATGCCACCAATGGTTATGAACAGGTAGGTGAAGATGTTTCTCATTCTTACTGTGCATCGAGTGCTTGAAGTGATTACTAGTTCCTAAAGAGAATACATAGAAACTCAAGAGTCTACTAGAAATGAACAGTAAATATTTATTGGTTGCTATATCTGAGAGATATGATCAGATGTAAAATGCTATATAATAATTAGTAGTTAATTTTCATTAGTTTCATGGGACACAGAATAATAGACAGCTTTGGAAGATAGACTTGATTAATCAGGAAATCGAAAATTTAAGTGTGAGCTCTTTTAAATACCTTTGATAATGTTAAACTAAGAGGTACTTGGAAGAGAGATCTTTCATCCTAAGTATATGAGAATGAAAAGATAAGCAGAAAAATGGAAATTAAACTATTTTGTACTGAGAAAAGAAGATAGATTGAGTCTGTGAATTTTAAGCCCCACCACCCCTTCTTCCATCAAAAAGAACAACACATAGGGAAAAAAATAGGCCATCATTCCAATCAGGATTCTAGGTGATTGGGGCAAATATGAATTAAACTCTCAAATAAAATAACCCCAAACTAAATTTGAATCAGGGAAAAAAATAAGTTATGAGGTATAGCTAAGAGAACATTTAGAAATCAGGAGTTGGAGAGTTTTATAAGCCTTTTCACTGCTTATAAATGGAAATTATGTATTGAGGAAGACTATATGACATGTTTGACTGTCTGAATTTCTGAAATTAAAAGTATTTATTCCTTTGAGGGGTATTAAATACTACAGGGCAGTGTCTCTCAAATTTTGATCATGGGCCACTATCAGAATTATGTGTTAAAAATGCAGGTTCCTTTGCTCTACTGCAGACCTGATTAAGAATATCTGGAGATGGTGTCTATGTATTTGTATCTTTGGTGAACCTCGTGAATGATTATTACATATTCTTATGCTGTTTGAGAACCTCAGTCAGTTGAGCGAACATGGGGCATCAATTTATCAATTTAATATCTTGGTGAAAAACTGAAGTAAAAAATAGAATGTAGACTTTTATGGACTTGAATACAAAACCTACATCAATTTAAAATAAACATGATACATCAGAGAAACTTGAAACACATGAAGGTATAGTATTTTTTTGTTTTTTATTTTGAGGTAGTTCGGAAATGGCTAAGAAGCGTTGCTGAAGTCAAAGTGTTTCTGATAATTTTCATTTTGGGGCAGCATTTGTCAATAGCTTATAATATGGACCTCAGAATTAGAACCTTGATCTTTCAACATCATATCTATACCAATTAGATGATGATGATGTTGTTAGGTGCCATCAAGTCAGTTCTGACAGTGACCCTATGTCCTTTGTACAACAGAATGAAATACTGCCCAGTTCTGCACCATTCTCACAAGCATTGCTATGCTTTATCCCATCATTGCAGCCACTGTGTCAATTCATCTTGTTGAGGATCTTCACCTTTTTCTCTGACCCTCCACTTTACCAAACATCATATCCTTCTCTAGGGATTGCTCCCTTCGGTCAATTAAATATATATTGATAAATTAGTCATGTATAAGGTGCACTGTTTACTTTCTTGGTAAGTGCTTCAAAGAAGTGGAAATGATAGTTCCCTCTTAAAAGTTGTGTGATATGTTTAATGAGGGCAATAGGCAATGAATAATATTTGGATTAAAAAAAGTATTCTAGACTAGGCCTGTAGTAGGGCAGGGGATGAAAGTATATATTTTAAATTTTAATAGTACTTAAATATGAATGTATAATACTCAGAATATATTTTGAAAATTGTGTTATGCATATATCTTGATATGTTAAAGCATTTGGTAACTCAAGCAAATGTTGCCGTATAAGCACTGATGTTTCTGTAACGTTTTTATAGCTTTAATTAGAATAAATAATATTTTACCAAATATTTTTAACCATATAAACTTTTCTTGGTCAGTCATTGGTAGTTGTGTTTGCTTTAGCATTAGCTATAGAAGCCTATTAAAATGTATGAAGCTTCTTAATTGAGAGACAGCCTTGATTTTAAAATACAAAATAGTTAAGCTACCAATTATTCTTAATAAAGATTGGAACAAGAAATAATTTTCTTAGAACTTATGGAATAAACCTAAGTCTTCATTATATTTTTATCCTAAAGATTCAACTTACTGTAATTTTATTTTAAGTTTCAGTGAGGCATATAACAGCTTAGTTGCTTTGTTATCTCAGCCTCACTAGTCCTTGTGAGGAAAGTTAGTTAATGTCTAAATCTTCCTTTAGTCATAAGTAAAATGAGGATTCTTAGAGTACATACTTCAAAGAATATATACAGTGAGGAATACATGTGCTTGCTACCACCAAAAAAAAAAATTTTTTTTGAAAGGGACTTTAGTTAGTGTTTTGATGAAGATGGCATGTCATTACTCTCATCTTGCCTGGAAAAGAAAACTGATAAGCATTTAAAATAATTTCTAAATACTGCTTATTTGATACTTAGTGCTTCCTTTCACAGGTTCCCATTTATGGGTCAGTCAGTGGCTGGAGCACAAATCAGTGAAGGCCAGAATCTCATACCACAGGCAATGACTCAGGTAATTCTTCTTGTAACTGGTCACTCTAGAATGCTATGAGAGTCTTACCATATTTGACTGTATAGTTAGGTCACATCTAGAAAGTGGCAGTAGGCTTAGTGTAGTGGCAAGTATATTATTGGCTCAGTGGAAATGGACATTTGTTTCTGTTTTTTTAAGGATGACAAAGGTTTAAAAATCCTGGATTTTAGAATTGATTCATTAAGTTTAAAACATAAATTCTGATAAAACAAAATGATGATTATAATCATTTTCTTTAGATATAGTTTTGTTCCACTGTTTATTCCTTGGAATAATTTAGCTTTTTGAATATTCACTGTTTATAATAGTCAGATTTAAATGCAAATATTTAAACAAACTATGTCCTTATTGTCAAGCAGTATTCCGCAGAGTAGAGTTGCTCGTTATATATAGTTGTGTTTTTTTTTTTTTTTTTTTTTTTT